AAATCGCATCATATGACCCCTTTAATCAAAATCGCATCATATGACCCCTTTAATCAAAATCGCATCATATGACCCCTTTAATCAAAATCGCATCATATGACCCCTTTAATCAAAATCGCATCATATGACCCCTTTAATCAAAATCGCATCATATGACCCCTTTAATCAAAATCGCATCATATGACCCCTTTAATCAAAATCGCATCATATGACCCCTTTAATCAAAATCTGAACATTTACTTCTGCTCTGGAATGGCATTCCTTTTCTGATGATGTCAGTTTGACGGCTTGGGCAGAATATCCTTAAACACACCCCTCCAGCCATTAGATTGCTAATGAGTGAGAGACAGAGGAGGAGTGCAAACATAAAACCATGCCCTCTATTCAATATTCCGAAAATAAAGTCGGCAAAAATTTCCAGTTCACGCACACTTTAAAGGCACAATATGCAATTTTCGCCGCTAGAGGGCGCGTATTCAAAATAAACAAGTAGTTTGATGACACAGTGACTGTGGAATCATGGGAGTTGTGGTCTTCATCCCCACAGCCGATGCAATCCGACAGGACTCAGGCAGAAATCATGTTCATGGATGAGCTAATGATTTGTTAAGGTAGTAGTATGAAGCAGGGTGAGGCTGAAAGCTGTCGAAGCGAAACGAGGCTGCTGAACGAGCGTGACACACAGCTCGAAAGCAGCGGAGCTTTTATTATGCCACAGTCGACCGCTTCTGCTCCTTCCAGTCATGCATGTGTGGGGTAAAGCAGCACTGTTTTATCATACTAGATACATTTGATAGTTCTGTTATAATGCTACTCTGTGCGGTCCTCACCGGTCTATTAAAATGCACAACATATTAAAGCATGTTTTTTAAAGAGTTTTTTCTATCTATTTGACTCGCTTGGTTTTGTACTGTTGTTCTTGCACCTTGTTTAAGTGATACTTTGAGGTTTTTACCAGCACCATGTGATTGATTCGGATCAGTGAATAGATGCTTTCCATACTTGATTATGTAAATAACAGCTATAAACCACCAAAGTCTTCCCTTGAACAACAAAACTTGTTTATTGCAACCAGAAATTGTCCATACATATTACTATTAACAATAATTGCTCTATAGAAACAGAGAATAGGATAAAGCAAGTAACAAAAGAGGAAGCAGCAGTCAGGCACAGCGAGCGTTCACAGAAGCCGAACAGTCTTTCCTGTGACGGTCAGATAATCTTCATCAGCAAGTGCTCTGAGGGCCTCGTCAAACATGTCCTTTGTGATGGCCTGAAATTACAGGAAAAAAACTGATGTTAAGATTTTCCTTGGGCTTGCAGTTTACATCATTTCTTACCAATATACAGCTGGAGTATCTATGCGTTATTAGTACTATTAAAGTAATGATAATAAAAAGAAAACATACCGCCTCTGACTGGCCACGAAGATCATCAAACAGCTGCTGGTACTTCATAGCTGGTGTTTTGCCCTTTGATTGGATGAGTTTTTTCAGGGCCTGAGCCACTTCCTCTTTACGCTTGCGTGCTGTAGCACTCATCCCTGTCCAAAAACAATCATCAGACTCTCTACAATTTGCATACAACATCCACAGGTACCAGTTAAGGCATAATAAAGGGATAAGTTGAGGAATAGCACTGAAAATGAAGTGTAACTAATAATAAAAATAAATATTTTATACACTTTAATTACATTGATTTATTACTATTTTATTCATTTAAAATATTTGACTTTTTATAGTAATTGTTCTTTTATTGAGTCACAGTAGCGGTCAGCATAAGCATTCATATCTGTACAGAATAAACCAATTAAAACCACCGTAATCTGCATTCGGCATCAACAGGCACTAGTTAAGGATAATTGGTCAAATTAAATCGAGGAAGAGCACCGATTATGAAAATTTTCAAAAAGAAGTGTAACAAATAATAAATATATATATTTATATAACTACGTTACAATTTATTATTACTATTTTATCAATTTAAAATATTTTAAAAGTAATTTGAGAAATATTTGATTACGAAACTAGCTAATAATAGATAAATCTACATAATAATAATTATTATTATTATTATATTACATAATTTAATAATGGTATATCATTTAATAATTATATAATTAAATTATCAATTTATTTTATCTATTAAAAATATAATTTTTATATTAATATTTTGAGGAACAGCCCTCAATTACTAAAATCATTTGATTATGAAGTAATTTTCAAAACGAAAAACGTAACAAATAACATTTTATATTATTACACTATAATTCGTTATTATAAATAATTTATTATTATAGTTATAAATAGAGTTTAGCCCATGTGACTTAACCTGACCAGTACTAACAGTTTATTACCCTACCTGTGGTGAGGATGGAGATATCCACGAATCCTGTCCTGGGATCAGTTGCGGACTGTTTTAGGGCCTCTCTGTGCAGTCTCTTGGCTTCCTCCACGTCAATGGACTCAACTTTGCTTGAGAAACGTACTTTAGCGTGAGCTTCAGCCAGTCTGATGAGAGACTCCAGCTGACGGGGGTACGCAGACACCATCCCTCTGCCACTGCCGATCTTACGCATGTCTACATAGGCCTGCAAGGGTCAAAATTAAGAATTACATGCCATACTACACTACTACAGGTACATTGATCTATATCCTTTATATACCTCTATAAGAGCCTGACTAGCTTCCTCACTGAGTCTGGGATGCACAGACGTGCGAGCGAAAGCGATGTAGTCTTTCAGCACAGCCATGTCCAGATGCTCCTCTTCAATCTGCTCTTCACTCTGATAATACAGAGCCACGAGGTGATGCGCGAGACGCCGGTCATACGCCTCATCCTGAGGGTCCAGCATCAGGAAGATCAAATCAAACCTAAGAACCAGAGATTTTTGAGTTTAGTGTTTAAT